GGAGCTCCACCGAAGGCCCCAGTGGCGCAGTTCGCATGCGGTTCCCCACACAGGGCAGCGTTTCGTGGCCCCATAGGGAGCTCCACCGAAGGCCCGCCCCAGTGGCGCAGTTCGCATGCGGTTCCCCCACCCAAGGCAGCGTTTCGTGGCCTCATAGGGAGCCCCACCGAAAGCGGCACCCACAACGCGTTACGAACAATTGCTTATGGTTGGGTCCTTCGCCAGGATAATTTTTTTTCGGCCATTTGGTCTGGCGTTCAGGGTCGTTGGGCGGCCCTCCATGTGGATCGCGGCATTTTTGGCGAGTAGCAGATGGCTCTTGCTTTGCCGCGTCTTTGCTGGCGCTTGGCCCTAACAGTTCCGGTCCTTTAGCGCACCCAAGCCATGGCGGCAGCCAGCCTTGCCGCTCGAGGAGTTGTCAGGGGAAATCCCCGCCAGCACCAGATATGGCACGATATTGCTGGTGCAAAAGGATATTGTTACGCTCGGGTGTGGTTTGCGATCGGCGCCGTTGGGGCGTGGGGGGCACGACACTGTCCTCGTCGGGCTTCCTCGGGGCGCGGCGGAGAACTCCGAGGGTGACCCCCCCAGGGTGCTGGCTGCAGACCAGACTCTCTGCAATCCGCACCCTTCGGAGTCGCCGATCCAGGCCCTCAGGAATGCTTCGACCCCTTCAGCAACATCTTAAGACTGCTGCATGAGCCTTGGTAGGGCGACGAAATCTATGCACATCCACTGCTGCTGGCCAGGCTCATCCGGGGCCCAGGAGTAGTGTATACGACCCCCTGGTTTGGCCAAAGAGGCGTATACAGTATTCCTGGCCCCAGGATGGGCCTGGCTTGCAGCAGTGGATATGTATAAATCTCGTCGCCCTACTTGGGGCACGCCTCGTCGTGCTGACAGGCGCGGTGGCGGATTTCTCGCTCGTCGTTTCCACGAGCCCACGGGCGGGCCTCCCCGCCGCCCGCGGGAGGCCGGCGGCGGCGGCGCGACCTGCTGGCCACTGCTTTCCCCCGAGGGCCGCCGGTGCACAGCGGTGCACAGCGGGCCTTTAAGGTTTCGGGTGTGGACAGAACCCCCAACAGTGACACGTCGATTAGAGCCGTTTTTTTTTTTTTTTTGTTTTTTGTTTTTTTTTTTTTGTTTTATATATTATTATTATTTTATTATATATATTATATATATTCGATATATACAGGCAAGCTTACTTGCATGGCGTTCGCCCCCCCCCCCCCCCCCCCCCCCCCCCACCCCCCCCCCCCCCTCCCCCCTCGCCCCTCTTCAATCGAACACGAGCGTGCAAGTGCCTTTCGACTTGCGTGATTTCCGCACGTCGAATTGTTTTCGGCTTGCTTCAGACTCAGCCCCCCCCCCCCGTCCATGCAAGTAAACTTGCCGGAATCCAAAGAAAAGCAAGCTCTGAGTGAATTGTCCGTCTTCGGTTCTCGAGAGGGCGCCGTGGCCGTTGTTTTCCAGGCTTGCGCCCGCCAGGTTTGGGCCTCAGGTCGTTTTCACTAAGCCACGTTTTACTAAAGGGGGGTCTGTCCAACCCCGAAGGTTCTCCTGCAAGGCTCGTTGCGAGTGGTCGCAATCACGCCGTGCCACCTTGTGGGATGGCCAAAGGTCACCCGGAATCTTCTCAGGCCTTATTTGATTCGGGAGGTCCAGCAACATGCGTGCCGACGCAGTTTTTTGTTGTTCTTGTTGTTGTTGTTGTTGTTGTTGTTGTTGTTGTTGTTGTTGTTGTTGTTGTTGTTGGTTTTCGTCGCTCTCAGCTGATGCTCACAGACTGCAGGTGACCTCTCGCACACATGATACGGGGCTAGGACGAGGGTAAATCCGTTCCAGAGCGTTCCGGAACGCTCTGAGAAGGCCGCGGCGCCCGAGACATCCTCCAGAGTCGCCCGCTCTCAGAGATTCTCGATTTATCGTCACTCGAATTTATCCTCTTCCTGGCCTCGTCTTAACTGCTCGTAGCTATTCTCAGGCCTGCTATGGGACCTTGACTTGGTGGGCTCTAAGCCTCCCGCGACCGAAAATGAGTAGATTACGCGGATGGGGGGCAGTCGGTTTCCAAAATTTGGTTCTCGATAATTAAGGACTTCAGTAGAGGTCACAAGAAGGCAGATGTCTTCCGGCTACACGGATGGAGGCGAAGTGTCCGTGGTTTTGAAGCCAACGCGTTCGGGTCGAGGTGCGGACTGTGCACTCAAAGGTGTATGTAGGAATACATTTTCCCTCGATGTTGCCCCCTTCCCCCCCCCCACCCTCCCTCAGCCAAGGATAGGGAAGGGGGACATGGTTGGGAAGCGCGGCAAGCAAGAGGGATGTGAGGAGAGAGCAGAGAGGTGAGGAGGAGGGCGAGGAGGAAGGAGCGTGGGATGGATGGACCGAGGATGAGGACGAATGTAAAGACGAGAAGGGTGACAAGCCGGAGGATAATCAGCAGGTGGAAAGATGGTGGTGGTGTTGAAGATGATGATGGTGTTAATAATGTTGATGCTGATGCGGCTGATGCTGATGATGATGCCGATGATGATGACGAGGATGATGATGATGACGATGCTGATGGTGACGACGACAATTATGATGATAATGTTAAACATGATATGCGAATGATAACATTCATGATGATAATGATGATGGTGATGATGGCGACACCAATGATGAGAAGTATGATGATGATTTTCACTTTTATGCTGATGCTGATCTTGCTGCTGATTGTGGTGATATTGATGCTGCTGCTGATGATTATGAAGACGGCGATTCTGTGGATGCTGCTGTTGTTGATGATGACGAAGAGTATGATGATGCTACTGATGATGATGCTAATTATGCTGGTGGTGGTAAAGATGATGATGATAGTGATGATGATGATGCTGATGATGATGATGATGATGATGATGATGATGTGATGATGATGATGATGATGATGATGATGATGATGATGATGATGATGATGATGATGATGATGCTGAAAGTGGCGGTGGTGATGGTGATTGTGAGGGTGGCAGTGATGTTGATGACGACGATGACAATGACGAGGACGATGACGATGACGATGGTGATGCTGATGATGATGACGATAACGACGATTCCGATGCTGTTGCGGATGATGATGATGACGATGATGCTGACGATACTGATGAGGATGATGATGCTGATGATGATGATGCTGATGATGATGCTGATAATGATTCTGATGGTGGTGATGGTGATGGTGATGATGGTGATGATGATGCTGATAAAGATGACGGTGCTGATGATGCTGATGCTGGTTATGCTCCTGCTGCTGATGATGATGCTTATGATGATGGTGCTTCTGATGCTTGGGGTGATGATGCTGATGCTCATGCTGATGATGCTGATGCTGATGCTGCTGATGCTGATGCTGGTGCTGATGCTGCTGTTGATTATGATGCTGATGCTGCTGACGATTATGACGATTACGATGACGATGACGATGATGTTGCTGCTGATGATGATGATGCTGCTGATGATGTGATGATGATGATGATGATGATGATGATGATGATGATGAGGATGAGGATGAGGATGAGGATGATGAGGATCATGATGATGATGCTGATGATGATGATGCTGATGCTGATGATGACGACGATGTTGATGATGCGGCTGCTGATGATGATGATGGTGATGATGCTGCTGATGGTGATTGTAATGGTGATGGTGGTGATGATGATATGACGACGACGATGATGGTAGCGTTGATGAGGATGATGATGATGTTGTGCTTTCATTGCCCTCCAGTACCACTTGCGTTTTTCCAATTGCAGTGACGCTCCCAGGGTCGCACCCTGTTTTGTTACACGGGAAGAGTCTTAGGCCTCATAATCGGTTGTTGGTTCTTCATTTCCCAAAACAGCGGTTCCCGCCTGATGCACCCTTCATAATTATTTGATTCAAACTCGCGCTCTCGCGCGGGACATTCTCACAATTAATGCAGGAACCGCACTCGCGCTCAGGACTTCCACGTATTGAAGAGCTACTGTAGCCGCGTCCTCGACGTGGAGGAATCGTGCTCTCGCACGACACCTCCTTGCCATTTGCTCAGGTCTCGTGCTCTCGCCTGGGGAGATTCTTCGCAATTGGTGACATTCGCTTCCATGCCCCGCCCGCCCGACCTGCCCGTGAGGGGTTCGCCCGCTCGAGTCGCCCGTCAGCCCGCTCGTCCGACGCTCCCGTTAGGGTCATCCCCTCCTCGTGCCTGGAAGCCCAGGGCTGGACCCAAACGGTGTTTTTTGGCGATCTCGCGGGCCCCTTTTCGTTTCGACTTCGTTTGCGGTACAGGCGGATTCGAGACAAAAGAAAACGGAAAACACCGTTTAGATTCAGCCCTGTGGAAGCCCGCCCGCCCGTTTCAGAGTTCCGCCCGCCCGCTCGCTGGGGTCCGCCCGCCTGGCCCGCCCGCCTCGATGCCCCGCCCGCCCCACACGCCCGCCAGGGTCTGCCCGCGCCCCCATCCCTCTCCTCCCTCTTCCTCCTCCTCCTCCTCCTCGTCGTCCTCCTCCTCCTCCTCCTGCCCCTCCCTCTCCTCCTCCTCCTCCTCCTCCTCCTCTTCCTCCTCCTCCTCCTCCTCCTCCTCCCTCTTCCTCCTCCTCCTCCTCCTCCTGCCCCCGATTGCCCCCCGTCCTCCCTTGCGGCCGTCTCTGGCTCAAGCCGCCGCCGGGCAGCAGCCGCTGCGCCCCCCCCTCATTCATTGAGCTCGTTCCACTAGCAATGTGCCTACTCGCAGACGCCCGAACAGAAACGCAGTTCCCCCTCGATGAGATTTGTCGTGCACCCCCCGCGGCGCATCCGGGCCATTTGCGAGTAGTTCGTCTGCGAGCAGGTGGCCCCCCCCCCACCGCAGAGATGGCGCCGCCCCGCCTATTGCTGTCGCTTTCACTCATTACCCCGTGCGGGGTGGCGGATTCTTCGACTATAAACGATAAACAAAAAACAAGCAGTGGCCCCGGGCCCGAGGAAAAAAAAAAGAGATGGCGCCGCCCCGCCGCTCCTGCGGGCTCCCGCTGCTGCTCCCGCTGGGCCTCGCCTGCGGCCGGCCCCCGCGGGCGGCGGCCGCCGCGGTGAGCCCCGCGCAGCTGCAGGCCCGGCTGCAGCACGCCGCCGACTCGGGCGCGCAGGCCTTCACGGTGCCCCCGGGCAGCTACCGCTTCGGCGCGGCGCCGCTGCGGCTGCGCGGCGCCCGCGGGCTGTCGATCCGGGCCGGCGGCGCGACGCTGTGGTTCGAGGTCGGCGGGGGGCTCGAGATCTCGGAGTCCGAGAACAGCTCCGCCGCCAGAACGTGGCCACGTCCACCGCCTCGGAGTCGTGCCCCGAGCTCTGCGGGGAGCGGCGGGTGTGGATATATCCGCCCGCCCGCGCTGGCAGGCGGATGCCCACGTCCGCCGCTCCCCGAGTCCTCGGTACGCGACCCGGCCGCAGTGGATGTGGTCACATTCTGGCGGCGCAGCATCACCGTGAGCGGCCTGACCATAGACTACCTGCCCACGTACGCCCAGGGCGCCGTGGTGGCGTGCTGTGGTGCCGACGGTCGCACCCTCGTGGCCGACCTGGACGAGGCCATGCAGCTGCCCCTGCGCCCGGGCAGCGAGAGCTGGTTCGGCGGGAAGACGAAGGTGGGCTTCTGGGACGCCCGCTCCCGGACGCTGCTGCGGGATGGCTCCGACCCCGCCGCGGTCAACATTACGCACCCTGAGATCCGTCAGTTCAGCGATCTGGCCCTTGAGCGATTCCATGGCGACTGGAGAGGCGAGGACTACTGAACTGATGGATCTCGACATCCTGGCGTACCGCAATCCATCAGTTCGATAATCCTCGCCTCCCCAGTCGCCAGGGAGACGCTCAGGGGCCAGATCGCCGAGCTGAAGGATCTCAGGGGGCGTAAACATCTACGCCCAGTCTTTCCGCGAGGCGCCCGGGGCGGGACCAGGCATCAGGGGCAACGATAGGGGGGGATAGGCATAGGGTGGGACGCCTCGACCCCCAATCGCCCACTGATCGCCGATGGGGTCTGATAGCCCCAGCCCGCCCAGGAAGGTGCGGACTCACCATCGGGGGCCTATCGCCGATCTATGGGCGATGCATCGCCGATTCCAGGTCGATGCACCCCCCCGTATGCCAGTCCCCCGACGTTGTGATTTTCTCACAACGTCGACTCCCAGCGGCCTGGACCCCTCCCCCGGGTCCCGTCTTTCGTCCCGAGTCGTTCTCTGACGGCCCCCGAGGCCCGGGAAGTGCCCCCGGAGGCCGAACATAATTCAGGAGAGAAAGAAACACACAGACACAATTAATCGTCGACTCCCAGGAAAATATTGGAAAATATGGGAATTGGGCTGGAAGACAAAAACCCAGAAAATATGGGAAAATATGGGGAATCTTTTTATTTGTGTGTATTTATTTGTGTGTCCCAGGGCCCCTTCAATAATGGAAAGCCTCCCGCCGTGATTTTGCCACCGCGCGAGGAGGTCTGGGTATGCCGGTCCCCCCCTGTTGCCGCCGCCCCTCGAGGCAGGCACCGCTACCGCATCTCGCTGGCGCCTGGCCCCCAGGCCGCGCCTCCAGCGGGCGCCCTGGTGACCGTCTTCCCGCGCGGCGGGAGGCACTCGCTTGCCCTCCGCGGGGTCTCCGGCTCGAGGTTCCATCTGCGGCCACGCGCAGAGGGGGGTGGGGTTGAGTCTCGGGGCGACCGACATGGGTACGGAAAGAATGGGTACGGAGACCAGCAGCAGTTCTGGTTCATTTTGGGCAGGATTCGCGGTCGGCGTCGCCGCGGGTTGTGTCCATTTGGGACAGAAGGCCGCTCGTTAAACAGCGGCCGCTGTCGGTTCGAGACAACATTTGCTGTTGGGCATTGGGCCCATTGTTTCCGTGCCCATTTCGGGCGTCCAAGAAGTCGGGCCTGTCCCTCCACAGGGGGAATCTTCAACAGCAGTCAAGAACTAGTCTGGGGGCGATTTTTTGACCCTGTTCGATTTTTTTGTTGTGGAGTATTTTTGACTCTTTTTACCTTTTCGTCGAAAATCTGCCTGCAGGGGAGCAGGCCCGACTTGAGGGCAGGGGGAGGGGGGAAGGCTTCTCAGGAGCACCCCTGCATCCTAGAAGGCGTGGGCTTTGTCTATAGGTGCAGGACCGGCGCCTTCTGAGAAACAGCCTCCTTTTAAGAGGCCTTCCCCCCCACCCCTACCCCCTTGTGCGCGCCGCCAATCCATGGGGTCTCCATCTACGGGGGCAGCTCCTTTGGCGTCCTCGAGCTGATGGGCGGCGGCGGCAACTGCTTCCACCAGCTCAACGTGACCCGCCGCCCCCTGCCAGACGGTTACGACCGCCTCCTTGCGACAAACGCCGATGGATTCCACTCCACCAGCAATACTGTCGGACCCACCATCCAGGGCAGCCATATTGCTTTTGTCGGTGACGACATCGGCAACATTAACACCATGTTTTTTGTTGTTCTCCGGGTCTCCCAGGGCAACAATGTGACCATCATCGACCATAGTGGCAACTTCATGGGAGGTCCCAGGGGCATCCAGAACGTGTCCTTCTTCCACCTCAACAGCTTTGCACCAGAGGGCTCGGCAGTCCGCGTGAAGGCTGCCAGGCTCGCCACCGACGACGATGCCAAGAGACGTCTCGCGCGGGCGCGCACAGATCTCGCCAGGCTGGACGCGCACTTTCAGGACGCCGCCTGGGCCGCTGCCGTGGCGGTGGAGCTGTCGCTCGAGAGGGTGCCGCCCGGCGTGGAGGAGCTGCGCAGCACCCTGGCGCACAGCCTGGGCTCCAACGCCAACGCGAGAGTCCTGGACAGCAGCTTTCACGACGGGTACGCGCGAGCGTTCCTGCTGAAGACCACGGGCACACGGGTGCGCAACAACCTCTGGGCAAGGGCCGGCGGCATCCACGTCGGTCCCGAGCAGAACTGGCTGGAGGGCGACCCTGGGCTCACCGACGTGGAGATCACGGACAACGTCCTGGACGCGTGCGGCACGCCGGCCATCAGCGTCCCCCCGGCCCTGAGCGGGAGGGTGGTGCTGCGCAACAACACGGAGGCGCGGCCTCGAGAGGTCCTGGTGTGATGCCGGTGCCGCGCGCCGTGCGCGCGGGGCAGTCTCCCTCCTCCCTCCTCCCTCCTCCCTCCTCCTCCTCCTCCTCGTCCTCCTCCTCCTCCTCCTCCTCCTCCTCCTCCTCCTCCTCCTCCCCCTCCTCCTCCTCCTCCTCCTCCTCCTCCTCCCCCTCCTCCTCCTCCTCCTCCTCCTCCTCCTCCTCCTCCACCTCTGCTCCACCTCCCAGTGCCGTTCGGGCCCTGGAGGGCTGTGGCCGCTCCTAGGCCGCAGGTGGGGCAGACGTCCTGCACGGGGCGCGGGCGACCGCGTGGAGGGCTGGGCCACGGAGGAGTGCTGCACCCTCTCTGGATCCCACCGGCGTGGGGCAGCAGAGGACCGGGCACGAGGGGGCGGCGGTCCTCCCGCTGCCGGCCGACTGCAGGAGCCGAGCAGGGGCCGCGCACGCGATGGCATGGAGGAGCGGGCTTCCCTGGGGCCCGTCCTTTGATCGGGCCGGGCGAAAGGGGGGGATTGGGAAAGGGGTGGTTACAAAATTTGCTGCATGCAGCTGGTTTCGGCCCCACCGAGGGGCCCATTCCCCGATACATGGGCGCCTCGGGCGCCGGGAGGCGCCGGGAAATTCAGCTGCGTGAGCTGATTCTCAAACCCCCCCTTTGCTATCCCCCCCTTTCGCCCGACCCGATTTTATCCCAAGCCGTTCTCTGACGAGCACAGGGTCCGGGGAGGAACCGGGGATGCCGCCAACGGCGAGGTACCTCAGGACGCCGTCTCTTCGGGACCCCCTTTCCTCCATATTGGCATGATCACGCGCATGCGATGCGCCTCCAGCACTGCCTGGCCTCCAGCACTGCCTGGCTCGTCGGGTCCTGCTCTTTCCGAAGGGGCTTCCCGAGCCATTGGATCCCGCGCCCCGCGGACAGCCTCCTCCCTCCTCCGTCCCCCCCTCCTTCTCTTCCCTCCCCTCGCCTCCCGTCTCCCGTCTCCCTCCTCTACCTCCTCCCGTCTCCCTCCTCCTCTCTCTCTTCCCGTCTCCCGTCTCCCTCCTCCTCTCACCTCCCCTCTCCCCCCGTCTCCCGTCTCCCTCCTCCTCCACCTCCTCCACCGCCACCTCCGCCTCCCTCCCCGGGCGCGCGCGCTCCAGCGCGCGGAAGAGGATGAGGAGGAGCGGGGTGAGCAGAAGAGTGGTGATGGTGGTGGTAATGGTGGTGATGGTGGTGGTCGTGATGATGGTGGTGGCGCTTCTGCTGCTGCTGGTGTTCTTGGTGATGATGACGACGATGAACATCATGCTCTTGATGATCCTGGCGCTGGTGGTGCTGATGACTGCGACGATGATCTTGTTGATGAGGTGAAGGAGGAGGCTGGGGGTGAGCATGATGATAAGAGGGGGAGGAGGTGGATGATGCTGCTGATGATGATGGCGATGCTGATTCTGATGATGATGAGGATGATGATGCTGCTGATGATGATGATGCTGCTGCTGACGATGCTGATACTGATGACGCTGATGCTGATGATAATGATACTGATCGTGATGACGATGGTGATGATGCTGATGATGATGACGATGACTATGCTGATACTGATGATTTTGGTGATGATGATGGTGATGATGCTGACGATTATGATGACAATTATGATGATGATGCTGATGATGATGATGCTGATGCTGGATGATGATGATGATGATGATGATGATGATGATGATGATGATGATGATGATGATGAGATGATGATGATGATGATGCTGGTGCCGATGCTGATGATGATGATGCTGATAATGCTGATGCTGCTGCTGCTGCTGCTGCTGCTGATGATGATGATGATGATGAGGAGGAGGAGAGGAGGAGGAGGAGGAGGAGGAGGAGGAGGAGGAGGAGGAGGAGGAGGGGGAGGGGGAGGGGAGGGGGGAGGAGGGGGAGGAGAGGAGGAGAGGAGGATAGGAGGAGGAGGAGGGAGGAGGAGAGGAGAGGTAGGAAGGAGGGAGGAGGAGGAGGAGGAGAGGAGGAGGAGGAGGAGGGAGGAGGAGAGAGGAGGAGGAGGAGGGAGGAGGAGGGAGGAGGAGGAGGAGGAGGAACAGGACCAGTAGCAGGGAGGAAGAAGGGAGGAGGGTAACTGTGGGAAGGATGGAGGGGGCGTGAGGATGATGTGGGAGGGCGAGGAGGGAGGACGATGGTGACGACGAGAAGGAGGAGGAGGGTGAAGACCGGAGCCAATGCAGGATGCAGCAGCGATGCTACCACACTCCGTCCAGTTCCAAGTTCCCCTCCGCGCCGGCCCCAGCAGGCGCAGCTCCCCACAGCAGTCGAGGTGGCCGCTCGAGAGACGAGGTGCTTCGCGGGCCTGACACTTCACAGCGAGAGCACCGCTTCCGGAGGAGGAGCTGCCCCGCAGCCCTGC